TGCATATGCCTCAAAAGTACAGATAATTTATATTATTCCCCACAAACTAAGCTTTTGTGACTAGGACAGTGATATTTTGAAATTGACCTATTTTACAGAACATTTCACATAGATTCAGTGCTGAGAAAACTTGGAGTACCTTCTAGAACATTCTAGAACTTTCCAGTAATATAAATAGTAGTATAAATACAGGGGCCTTAAGCCCACAAGTTCAGTTCAGTTCCAGCTGACTTAGTGGATACATATCTGCATTTTTCTGAGATGGCATCAAGAGGCTGCAAGCATCCAGCAGACGCATTTTGCTATGTCTGCGGCCAAATTATCAAGACAAGAGCGAAAAAGTTATCTGTGGAAGAATCTGCTAAGATGTGTGAGACCGACAAGGCATATTTCGGCATGCCTGTCGGGGATCAAGACAAACCCTGGGCACTTCATTTCACCTGCGAGCAATGCAAAAACAACTCTGGAAGGTAAGATGGACAATTGTTGCTCTGAATTTAATGTTATAAAATTTGTTCACATTTTTCATTGTAACAATTTTTTTATTTCAAAATGTTTTACCATTTTCAATGTTATTGAAAAAATATATATCATATATGAAAAATGTTGCGAGAATCTCTTACACATTAGTCATGGGTGAAATAAATGTATTTTTGTAGGATGGTACAGAGGGGAAAAGAGAGCCATGATGTTCGCTATCCAAAGAATTTGTCAGGAACCCACTGACCACTCAAGCAACTGCTACTTCTGCATGGTGAACCCTTCCAAACGTCGGACTGGCAAGAACGCACCCGGCATCACGTATCCGGACCTTCCTTCATCCATCGCCCCGGTGCCACACTGCCACGAGCTCTCCGTTCCCACTCCTCCGGAGAGAGAGCAGCCGGGGAGACAAAGGCGGCCGGGTGTGGTGCTGGCCACCCACCCCCTCGTGTGCCGTGCCGGCCTTCATGGGTACTCGCTAACAGCTCTTGCCCCAACAGTCTGTTATGGCTACACGGGGGATCTTTGTTGTTGTGGGTCTGTGTGCGTGTGGTAACATGTGGTAAGCAGAGCTTTAGTGATGTCTGCAAAAGGCTCTATGAAATGTAGATAATGAGATATTTGTCTACATACTGTATCCACGTAGCTATCTAATACAAGAAGAGCAATTTGGGTCGATGACCTCCGGCCCTTGTCAGGCGGTAAAACAAAGAATATTCGCTGAGACAGCTGCGAGTGCGTCGCCATCTCTCTTCAAAATTACACCGCCGTGTCTCCTGGGAGAGCCACGTAAAAATAGTTGTGCCGACGGGCAGAAGAGAGTGTGCCGGAGAGAGGTGTGGCGGTGCGAGCCTTGAAGGCCGCCATGGTGCCGGCCTTCATCGGTGGCTCGCTAACAGCATCTGCACCAGCGGTCTGTTAGGGCTATACGGGAGGATGATTTGTCTTTGTCGTTGTGTATCTCTGTGTATATGTGGATAACTGAATACAGAACCAATCGATGTAATGAGAGGAGGAGTTGCTGTTATGGCAAGGAAAGAGCAGAATAACCATCACGGGGCAAGGTTCGTTACCAATTCTGATTTCCCGTTGGCCGTCCAGAGCCATCCGTGGATTTTGCACATTCCTGTGATGGAGATCAGCCTCTCCACTGCACAACCCTCTAAAACATTTATTATTTACCCAGGTAAAAATATGACCGTACAAATATATATTTTAAGACATTCAGGAACGTTCTTTTTTTACTGAGCCTCAAGACTCATTTTCAAGAGGGCCTTTGCTTTGGGATGTTTGGCTCACTGAGTGTATATGAGCACGTAAAATGCCGAATATTTAATACTAAATTGCCGTTATTGCAGCAAAAAAAGGTGACCAATCTGCAAACGTGTGCTTCTCAGATTGTTGTCACTCAGCGGAAACTCTTGCAGAGTGGGAAAATTTCGTAAACAATGTGCACATGTACGCCGAGTTACCAGTACGGCAGCGCTCGGGAAAAAGCGCAGAAGGAAAAGAACGTACATCTGCGATGCAGGGAAAACAATATGGCAATCCCGAAGCAGGCTGTGAATATTATTGAATACATTTACCCAGGCTGCTCAGCAAAAATAGAACTTGTCGCTTGGGAGTTTTTCCAGTCAAATTATATCCCGTGAAACGGCCAGCGAAAGATCGCTCACGTGACCTTTTTCTGAGCCATTTGTTACTGTTTCTGTGTTTGTGTTTACACTGCACGCCTGGACTTTGTTGTGTTTGTGTTCTGTGTTTCTGTTCATACTGCTTGCCTGGACTTTGTTGTTGTTGTGTGTTTGTGTTCACACTGCACGCCTGGACTTTATTGTTGTTGTGTGTTTGTGTGTTTGTGTTCACACTGCTTGCCTGGACGTTGTTGTTGTTGTTGTGTGTTTGTGTTCACACTGCACGCCTGGACTTTATTGTTGTTGTGTGTTTATGTGTTTGTGTTCACACTGCTTGCCTGGACGTTGTTGTTGTTGTTGTGTGTTTGTGTTCACACTGCACGCCTGGACTTTATTGTTGTTGTGTGTTTGTGTGTTTGTGTTCACACTGCTTGCCTGGACGTTGTTGTTGTGTGTTTGTGTTCACACTGCTTGCCTGGACGTTGTTGTTGTTGTGTGTTTGTGTTCACACTGCACGCCTGGACTTTATTGTTGTTGTGTGTTTGTGTGTTTGTGTTCACACTGCACGCCTGGACTTTGTTGTTGTTGTTGTGTGTTTGTGTTCACACTGCACGCCTGGACTTTGTTGTTGTTGTGTGTTCGTGTTCACACTGCACGCCTGGACTTTGTTGTTGTTGTTTGTTTGTGTTCACACTGCTTGCCTGGACGTTGTTGTTGTGTGTTTGTGTTCTGTGTTTGTGTTCACACTGCACGCCTGGACTTTGGTCAGTGAGGGGAGGAAAAGATTTTTCAACTCAATCAGCCTGAGTGCAATGACCCGCACGCAAGCGGCGAGGCGTTTTAAATTACACTCCTCAGAATCTAATCGGGTCACTTTGAAAGTTATCTTGAAATGTAATCATCTGGTACATGCAAAGTGAAGGCAATCTGATTCTACACCGGAAGTCCAGCCAAAGTCAAAGTGACTCCCCTACCTAAAGGAATGGCGCTGTTGTGTGCGTGTTGGTACCCTACCGAACGCACGATCTGCTCCGGCAGCCAAGGCTTGCTCTTCAAGACTCCCGTCAACCTTCGATCCGAGGGACGTCGCTCGTTGTCACATACTGCCCCCGTGGTCTAAAACTCCCTTCCACCATGACTTAAAGCTTTCGTGACTGCAGGAATTCATATTCTAGATAGGTTAAACGAACCTGTCTACGTGACTTTACCGAAAGACCCAAAGAATATCCCTTCAACCAGCCATCTGTGCTGTCGGCTGCGTGCACTTGGTCAATTGGAGACTCAAGACCTCTTCTCACTAAAGAGTTACCAGGTCACTGGTAGGCCCGGAGGTGGCACCTTGGTCGTAGCCACAGCCACAATGAGGTATACTGGATGTGGTGTGCAAGGTGCAGAAATAAACAGGGAATATGGCGTCAGTGCAGGACCGCCACTGCCTAAAACTGTCATGGGGCTTCACATACTTGATTCATCCTCCCCTTATGACTGACTGCCTCTCTTCATAATATAAATGTGCTCAGTTTCTGTACGGCGTCTTGAGATGCGGTCACAGGTCTCTCCTGAGAGTCGACTTGTCTCTACGAGCGTCTGCGTGTGCCGCTGCAGGCGTCACGGAATCGCGATGAGCCGAGGCGTTGGAGGCGTTGGGTTGCCCCACGTGCCGGTGACAAGGGATGGGCCGAGGGCGCCACTGTGGCGAGATGTTAACTACCTCGCCTGGTATGCAGGAGGTTGTGGGTTCGATCCCGATCCTGAAGCCTGCTGCTCTATATTTGGAGTTTGCGTGTCTCTCTCTCCGTGGATTTTCTCTGGGTCCTCTGGTTTTCCCCTCCACATTTAGAACGTGCAGTTAAGAGTAGTTGGTTGTTATAAATGTCCACGTGATAAGGCACTCAGTTACTCTATAATTTGTGATAACCAGGTCGCTTCTGAAAAAGAGCGACAGAGCTCAGTGGGCCTTACCTGGTAAAATAAAAAAAATAGTTTAGTTTAGAAGCAGCAGGCCTGTGCCTGTAAGCCGCACGTGCTCAGCAACACCTGCCCACTCCCCTGCCCCCCCCCACCCACTCCCCTGCCCCCCCCCCCACCCACTCCCCTGCCCCCCACCCACTCCCCTGCCCCCCACCCACTTCCCAGCCCCCCACCCACTCCCCTGCCCCCCCACCCACTCCCCTGCCCCCCCACCCACTCCCCTGCCCCCTCCCACTCCCCTGCCCCCCCACCCACTCCCCTGCCCCCCACCCACTCCCCTGCCCCCCACCCACTCCCCTGCCCCCCCACCCACTCCCCTGCCCCCCACCCACTCCCCTGCCCCCCACCCACTCCCCAGCCCCCCACCCACTCCCCTGCCCCCCCACCCACTCCCCTGCCCCCCCACCCACTCCCCTGCCCCCTCCCACTCCCCTGCCCCCCCCACCCACTCCCCTGCCCCCCACCCACTCCCCTGCCCCCCACCCACTCCCCTGCCCCCTCCCACTCCCCTGCCCCCCCACCCACTCCCCTGCCCCCCACCCACTCCCCTGCCTCCCACCCACTCCCCTGCTCCCCCACCCACTCCCCTGCCCCCCACCCACTCCCCTGCCCCCCACCCACTCCCCAGCCCCCCACCCACTCCCCTGCCCCCCACCCACTCCCCTGCCCCCTCCCACTCCCCTGCCCCCCACCCACTCCCCTGCCCCCCACCCACTCCCCTGCCCCCTCCCACTCCCCTGCCCCCCCACCCACTCCCCTGCCCCCCACCCACTCCCCTGCCCCCCACCCACTCCCCTGCCCCCCCACCCACTCCCCTGCCCCCCACCCACTCCCCTGCCCCCCCACCCACTCCCCAGCCCCCCACCGCCCCCCGACGCGAGGTGGCTGACGCGGCCCCACGTGGGAACCTACCGGCGCGCTTGATGCGCCTGCGCTCGGCCTGCAGGTAGGGCTTGTGCGGCCGGGTCAGGGGTCGCGCGGGACCGGCGCGGTCGCAGAGCACGGCCTGAGAGTCGCCCACGCTCACCACGGTGAGGCCGCGCTCACCCAGCACGGCGAGCAGCAGGGACGTCCCTGCAGCCACAGGCAGCACGACAGAGACAAAGATTCCCCGTGTAGCCTCAAAAGACTGTCGGGGGCAAGTGCTGTTGGTAGCGAGTTGCGGCGCCTATGACGGCCGGCACTGTGGCACACGAGGGGGTGGGTGGCCAGCGCCACGCCCGCCCGCCCGCCTTTGTCTCCCCAGTGGCGATGTCTACGCACCACGCGAGGTACTCATTTGAGGCCGAGCCCACCTAGGGGAGGCTCAGGACCGGTTCAGAGAATTGTCACTGGTGTTGGCCATGAGCGGAAGTCGAACTCAAGTTCTGGGGGTTCGTGGCGCAGCACGCTAAACGCTCCACCACCGACCCACACAGCCACACAGAGGCAGTGCAACACAATGCGTCACCTGCCGAATTGGAGGCAAGCCACTGCGGGGCTACCGTGGCCAAGCAACCCAGAAACTGTGGTTCCACTTCGCAGTCCACGGGAGTCTGCGCTCCTTCAACGCAGCACGAGGATGAGGAGGAAAAGCAGACGAACTCTCCCTCCTGAAACCCTCTCGTCGTGGCGAGCGGCAGACCTAGACATTGACGTACAGCTCCTGAACGTATTTTGCCATCGCATGCAAGAATAGAAAGCGGCCCAAACTGATGAAAGTGTTTCCTAAAAACTTGGAGACACAAGCCAGTGAAAAAGAATGTCCTGGAGTAATTGCAAAACGTGAAAACACATTTTGCCCCTGACAGCTGTTAACCATCGGCTTCCAGACCGATCAAATCTTTCATGGACAAACACGCGATGCCAAGGCGTTACGTAACCCACGCGTGCGCGTGGTTTTTCTTCAATGTCCAATGACGATGACTCATTTCCCCCTCTCTCCGAAGGGCCGCTTCGGAATTCACCTCGTGCTCCTTGACACCAGCGTAAACCCCATTACGTTCTGAACGTGGTGCATTAGTGGTAATAAAATCATCCTCCCCACTACGGTACGTAATGAGTTTCTATACATTATTGATTTTTTTTCCGCCGGAACGGGGGGGGGGCACTGTCGTGTGGGGGAGAAAATGTTGTTGCCGATAACATCTGACAATACACAAGTATTTGTTTAAACATGTATGACTATGCTGAGACCGGGCAAATGCTGCTGAATGACATCCGCAAGGACGATTGGTCGAAAAAAATGCGGAGGCAGATGGAGCTCTGTTTATTTATTTGATTATCCTTGTGCGTCTGGGTTCATAGTGTTTTAAGTATCCATAACTTAGCTGTATGGGGAATGTATGGCGTCAGAGTGATTTATATGCTTGGGCCTTGCACAATGGGGTAATGCAGAACGTAGCGATGATTTGGAGTGTGGTAAATCTGTTGCAATGTGCGCTCTGAACGGCTGCTAAGATCATAATACAAACAAAATGAGTGGATTTTTGGCTGAGCTGACGTAAGGGGAGGTCCATGCAGGGGTCAGAAAAAGGATGAGCGAGTGGGTGGTCATTTAGAAGGCAGAAATAGTAGCTCCGTGTCGGACCACAAACACACCACGTCCAACGCAGCACACACACGTCTGCAGGAACAAGCACACACATGGACACAGATCACTGTATCGCCTTACCAGACTGTTGGAACAAGTGCTGTAAGCAAGCACCTATTAAGGCCGGAACGGCACGCGAGGGGGTGGGTGGCCAGCACCACGCCCGACCGCCTTTGTCTCCTCCGATGTTTACTACACGTCGCACCAGATACTCATTGAGGCTGAGTCGACCTAGGGGAGGCCCAGGACCGGATCGATTCCCTGTCACGGTGGCCGTTAGCGGGAATTAGACCCATGTCGCCGGGTTTGTAGCGCAGTGCGATTACCACTACATTACCGCTCCCCACATACACACACGTGCAGACACACGTGGATATGAATACACACAAAAAGGCACACGGACACACACACACGGAAACAACAAACGCCATTTGCACGGAGATACAGACACTAACACACACACACAGACACTAAGACACTCACACACACAGACACACGTAGACACAGACGAACACACGGAGACACGCAGAGACACGCACAGAGGCTTAATTTAAATTCACGTGGGCACACACGCACGTGACCACAGTGCTGCATTGCAGTCACAAGTAAATAAATATATAACTCGCACAGGCAATAAACGTGAACATGCATCACACAGGAGCAATTATTAGAATGTACATTGGGCAAAATTGTTGCCAATTTTACAATAAAGTCATTCGTTGATGACGCAGAAACAATCAGTGGAGGGGTTTCCCTTACTCTTCTTTTTGTAGCCCTGAAGGAAATTGTAAAACAAAATAGGATTACATTTCAGCCGCATGGCTTCTTGCAGCTTGGCACAGGTTAAGTTTGTGTCATTTGCTAGGTTCGGAGCAAAAGATGCGTTTGATTTTCCTTAATAACCGACAACTGGCACGGTTGTCCACGTACGGTGCGAAATAAGTTCAACACACACACATATATATACAACTATTGTACAGGCACGGTGATGTAGATTGATTAAAACAAGATTTACATTTGAGAGAAACGACTTTACTCGGCGAAAAAAACATTTGACAATAATTCGGCAGAAGGTGAGTTTACACGAAACGTTCGGCAATTAAAAAAATTATCTGAGTTTTTTTTAAAGTTGTAATTCCCCCCCTCCATCTCGCTGTCACAAGGTCAAGTGGTCTCTCACGTGGTGTTCGAGAACTGGCTCAACAGAAGAGGATACCACAGAGTTACCACCGATCATTACCCTCCACCAACAACGACGACGGAGCTGATCAAAATCCGATTGTCACGCGCGTGGCCAAATGTGCCAATTGATTTTGGCTGTTCAGCCAAACCCGGAGGAGTGTTGAAACGCGCAATTTTGACACCTTATACAATTTTTGCTTGAATTTCGACATTACACTCGCTGTGTTTTTTTGCTGAAAGACAAATCGACACGGCACATTTACCCACACACGTGACAAAGTTTATTTGATTTGCTCTGTTGTCGGGCGTTGGAGGAATCTCGTAAAATGAAATGTACATTACACCTTATCTACTTATGAAGCATACGACTATGTTGTTCTTTGCGAGATAGCCTTATGCACACAATTCTCAGAGCTCCCTCTGAGATGATTTCCAGCGACCTCTGATCCGCACATAGTAGAGGGCATCACTTCCAACTCACCCTGTGCATGGATGTTAAGTTCATCACAGTAGTAGTAGTATTATAATGACATTCATTTACTCAGGAAAGTGCACAGCGATTGGTATACGTTTCCCAATTCAATAGTTTAGCACGTAATATTGTTTTATTTCCAAATTTAGACCATGACACCAGCACACAATGGTCTCATCTTCTTCAAATTACATCACGGGATCTTTAAAGTCCACCGTGAAGCACATGCAGTCATTGGTGACCAGGCTGAGACCATCAAATCGCAACACCTGAGGGCCCTGTTTAATCACAGGCGGCTTGCTTGGACTTGAACCCAGGCTGACCTCTGACCTCTGATCCACCGGGCCCAAACTACTATTTGTTCATTTTCTTAACCAACAATGAATAATGCGAACACGTGTACCATGGCTATCTTTATATCTTTTCATTAAATGGGACGGTAAATTATTTACGACGGTTTTACATTTGAAGGCGAGTCTCAGCTTCACGTCGAAAACAGCGGCCTTTATTTATTGCTGCGTTTTTTGTTTGTTGCATGAGGATAAAAGCCAGGGAGGAAGCCTGGGACATAAAGGGAACAGCAAAATGTTTTGCTTGAAAGATTCTGCAAGCAGTGCTGTGCCAAAACAAGCACAGTCGAGATTGCTTTGAATTTTTCGAAATGGTCATTTTATTATTTTCCCAGTTTATTAATTATATTTTTCTACATTCGAGACCCCCCCCACCAAAAGCAAACTGCCCTGTGTTGCGCCTTTCGAAACGACTGTTGGTGCCTAAGTGGGAGACTGCCCGGGAATAATCGCAGCCGCTGTAGGGTTGCGAGGTGTGGTCAGAAAACCGTTGCACAGCGATGGTTTATCGAATCTATCTGTGCGGATCTTTGAGTATCATCACCCCCTCCTCGTATGCGCGGTGGGATTTCGAGGCTTCCCCGGTTTCCATACGCAAGAAGCCAATCTCTCACGTTTGGAATTGGCCAAACTATAATTTTTGGCATTCATATTTCTTCAGAGTGCATATAGCGCCCGAAGGCATTATCGCTGGCCATGTGTTCAGTCTTTATTACTCGGCGTTATTTGTCAAGCAATTATGGGACAATGGTCTCCTCATGTGCTGTGTCGGTCATGGTAATTGTTGACCATACTTCACCACGCTGGTCATCGCGGGTTGATGCAGCCTATCTATTGCATTGCCCACCCACTGGAAATGTGGCAAACCTCACCCTGCGATAAACCTCAAGCTGCATGGCGCAAGTAGTCAGTGTGAAATCGACTTGCTGCTCTGCCGCCTCCTGCATGCTCCACCAACCCGGCAGGCGTGCGTCTCACACTGCCTCCCCCCTCTCCATGTGACCCCACAACCTCACTTCCCACTTACATGGTCGCGGGATAAATTCACGGCCACAAAGTCCCCACGTACATAGGTACAGTGTGGTGATGCTGGGAGTCATCACTTACAGCCCTTTGTCAAGGCACTACTGGACGAAGCCCACAAAGATCCCTCATAGAGCCTGAACAGATTGTTGGGGGCAAGTGCTGTTAGCGAGCGCCTATGAAGGCCGGCACAGCACACGAGCGGGTGTGCGGCCAACACCACGCCCGGCCCCCTTTGTCTCCCCAGTGCTGTTGTTCTACACACGGCTTGGTCGACCGAGGCGAGCCCCGAGACCGGTACAGATAACCGTCACTCAGCTCGTCGGGTTCGTAGCGCCGCACGCTGACCAGGACACTACGTCTCCCAACTCTTACCTCATACGCACACACGTATGACATCTATTCATGACCAGTGAAGATGAAGGTTGTTTTGCAAGCGAGATCTGGGTTCACACGTTAAAGCGCCGTGCAAATG